CTGAATTCAAACACATGCCTGTGCTCAGTCTAGTCATCACTCGCCTCAATTATTGTTGCCTCATCTCCTTCGGCTTCCCTGATAACAATATCATTTCCCTCCAGTATGCCTTAGGGTATGTCTACACTACAGCGCTATTGTAAGGTCTCTCATGTAGCTGCTCTATGCTGATGGGAGAGAGGTCTCCAGTCGGCTTAATTAAACCACCCCCATTAAGTGGCACTAGCTATGTTAGCAAGAGAACGTGTCCCGCCGACAGCTTTTGTCAGGGAAACTTCTGTCAGTCAGGAGGTGTTTTTTTCACACCCATGACCGACAAAAGTTTTACCAACAAAACTGTGTAGACATAGCCTAAAACACAGATGCTAAAATGATCATCCTTCCCTTACCCTAACTACATGGAAACTCCCCTGAAGGGACTTATGAGGTGTCCAGGTCTTTGGGTTGGGAAAGGAAAAGTATGGAAGGAGGAGGATTGTCACTGCACTACCAGACCACCCTCATAATATAAATTTCTTCTTTACCAATGAGATTTGTACCCCGTGGAGATAGAAAGTGGGTGCAATCTCAGCATGTGGTGGAGTGCAAGAACTATAGTAGTGCCAGGCAGTTGCACTTGGTGGTGGTGGTGTACAAGTGGGACCAGATTTCTTGTGCACATTCCCCCCTTGCACACCCAAGCAGCAGGGCACAACCAGGCTCTGAGTAAGAATTTCAAGATTTGGCCCTTTCTGGACTTCTCGTTTTCAGATGGTTAATTTTTCTAATGAGATCAGAACAATCCCAGAGAAAACATTACAGGACACGTTGAAGTGTTATTTCCAAACGAAGTCTCTGTATAAACCTTTCAGTTAAACACAACATTCCCTGAGCACGATGAATGGTAAATGTTGTAAGTTACTAGAAACTGAAACGAAACCATTCTTGCATAATGTCAGCAGCTCATAAGTAAAAGAGATGTATCACAATAGTTTCAATTGGTTGTCCCAATAAAGAACCAACCATTTGAACTTTCATAGATTTCAATACCAGAAAAGATTGAAAACAACAAAGATGGGCAGATAAAGAAATAAAAGTAATGAAACTCTACAGCTACCTGGATTTTGTCTCTCTGTAATAGAATACAAAATGTTATGGTCAAACAGGGATTCACCATTGCTGTAACTTGCCTGGTTGGAGAGGTCTTTCAGAAAATTCTCATCATTATCTTCATCAGCAAAGAGTATGTTTGGTGGCTCATATTCTACCAGAAATACCTTTGTTACAATGGCACTCTCCCTGCAGTCTCTGAAAGTTAATAATCAAAAGGATACAGATAGCTAGAGCACAAAATTATGGGTATTATTAGAAAGGAAATCAGTGGTGAAAATGGGTCGTTTATTGAAACTCCTCCTGCTAGCCAGATTACTATTTCAGCAAGCTGCCATGATCCCTTCATACTCCCAATCAATCAGTGTTTTTAAAAAACGACAGGAATTCTATGTATGATAAAAAATTACCAGTTTAAAATGATGAAAATATGGATAATTTTAATACCTGGTTCCCTTTCATATAAGAAATTCCTGATATACCTTAATCCATGTCCTCTTTCTGTCCTTGTTACTGTACAACTCCCTTGTGGGGGCGAAAAGGTGATATGCTCCACATTATACATAATGCCACATGGAATGGGAGCCCTTACCTCCAAAGCTGAACCACATTCAGCTTGCCATTCCATACCATTCATTATATGTCATTGCTGACATTTGATACCACACACATTCACTGTCCATGCCATTCATTTAGCAGGGGATGAAGAGCTGAGAATGCGTCTTTTCACAATCACAACAATAAAAAATAATGTATGGTCTGGACAGCGATACCAAGAACTATATATAAGCCTTGATTCTGCAAGTCCTTGCCCAGGGAATACACGGTAGTTTCACTCCAGGACACGTATGAGCAAAGGCAGTTTGTCCCTGATCCATGGTTGGGGCCCTAAGCACCACTGCAATACAAGTAATTACTATATAATAATAATAATAAATGTTCTGGCATAGAAGATACTGATGTCCATACAGAGGAATACATGAATATTAATTAGACTGTAAGCTCTTTGGAGTACGGGCTGTCTTTTTGTTCTGTGTTTATACAGCACCTAACACAATGGGGTTCTGGCCCATGACGGGGACTCCTAGGCACTACAGTAATGCAAATAAATTACCATAATTATAATGCAATATAGACAGTTGCTACTTACTTGGTGACTGCCAAAGCTTTTACTGTTATTTTCCCATCAGGTAATCTGATAGGTCCCTTATACTTAAAAGTGTTATGTTCTCCATAGCCAGGTCTCCTAACGAGTTCTGGTTTACTTCCATCTAAAGTGTAATATATAGTGACATCAGGAGTATCTGAAAGACATGAATAAGATAATTACCAAAATTGTATTAGAGCTGTTCAAAAATAAGCCTCACTCCTGTAAATGCTTACACACATGCTTAATTTACTCACATGAGCAACATAAGGATGTGAGTAAGGGATTGCAAGATTAGGGCCATAATGTGTGTTTTGGTTTTTTCCCTTTCCCTCTCTCCTCACAAAATTTGGTGACAAAATAATCACAATTTCATTACAGGCCAGTCATCTTCTCACAAAAAAGTTGCAAAAAGGATATGTGAAAATATGCACAGGTTCTACATGTGGCATGTTCGGATATGAAAAATGATCATGGTTGAAATATAAAAGTTGGAATTTCAAAAACTGAGACTCTTGCTAACAGATAGGGCCTTTTCAGTGAAACGGACCCATGCTATTTTCAAGTACCAGTTTTGCAAAATCACAAAACACAAAATTATCAAATTCTAAGGTTTTCATATTTCATTGTGACTATGGAACAGACACAATAGCACAGAAATATAAGGCCCAGATCCTGCAAACACTGAAAAATTTGAGTTACGTTACACACGAGTAGCCCTATTAGCTTCAACGGGACTAGTCACATGAACGAAATTAAGCATGTGCACGTTTGCAGGATAGAGATGTAAAGGATTAATTTATGCAAGGTATTTATGAAAATAGATTCTCATCAAAATCACGATAAAATGTGAACGCAAACACAGTATCAAAAAGTGAGAGTCAAATGACAAAATAAAAAGAACAGGGTTTATAGAACAGATTTAAAGCTGTTGTTTATACCTGATTTTATTTCTACATGTGTATTTGTGTCTATTTCATGTTTAGCCTTCCCTGGCAGAGGGAGTCGAAGTGGTATAATCTGAGGCACTGACACTGAACCAGCAGTCATTTTTCTTTGTAGTGATCTGAAAAAATAGCAAATGTTTCTTTTAAAATGTAAGAGTAAAGCAGAAATGAATCTTCATGCAATTTCACACCCCTATTCCACCTCCCTGAAAAAAGAGAACATGAGATGCAGTAAATTGTTAATCCTTATAACAATAACATTCTTATTTGTTTTGCTGTCCATTGAACATTTTTTCCTATTGAACCCATCTGAGCATGCTAAAAGCTAATCAAAATTTTGACCAGTTCTGAAACTCTGCAATTTTGGACAGAGTGTGAGAAAAGTACCACTACTTTCATTCCAATCTGATCTTCATTGCACGAGTTTAATTGATCTCTGCATACACAGCTGAAACCAGCTTTGCCAAGGTCAGCCCTGTCCATGAGGTGTCAGTGATACATGCTGGATCTGAGTGACAGTTCATGAGATAATCACGAAGAGTGTTGGCCTTGTTTATAATAGATGTGGCTCCATCCATCTAATATCTCATGTAAGAGAAATCAGCTACTTATTTCACTATGTCTATATGAGTGCCTACATGGAACCCAAGATTATTTGCTGAACAGGACTAAAATAAGGCACTCTCTGGTATTCCTGAGTGGTGTCTCGCCTGCAGTATATTAGGACAAATGATGCTGAACATGATTTTGTCCTGGTTTACAATGGCCAGCACTGTGTCAATGAACTTAATTGTGAACAACTGTGCTTAGAGATGATAAAAGTGTATAATATAGACAAGCCCCTAATGTAGGTCTTGGGTGGTTATGTTCACAGCCGAAGGCCTTGTCTACACTAGCAAGTTCTGGTTTTACAATCAACTTCCCAACCCCCCAACATGTCTGTAACATGTCACACATAAAACTACTACCCACTCTGCAGAGACAGGCATTCATTCATGAGAACGCTGGGATTGCACTTGTTCTGATCAAGGGTAACTATAGTGTCAGTCTGAACTTCTGTATTGCCTGTACAGACAGCAAGCACTGTGAGAGCAATTTCCAGCAGTGCCTTTACTCCTCCCACCAGATACGCCCTGGTGCAGCACATTTGCCAGAATCTGCCACCTCGAGCGCAGGATTAACAGATGGCAGAACCATTCCGATTGGTTTTCTACCACCCTCAGGTGGCCAGCTGACCACGCCGGTTTATTTGAGAAGCTGGATGGCTCTTATGCACCTGCGGGAGGCAGAACCAAAAATGGTAATTCTGTTGGTGCACCGAGTAGGTTATTTTACCGCATTCAGAATAAATGCCAAAGCCGGGCAGCCACCCGCAGCCCCTGGCTCTGGTTGTTCTACACGGCTCCCCACGCCCCGCATCAGGTTCCCCGGGCTCTGGATCCCCCCCGCCCCGCATCAGGTTCCCCGGGCTCCGGACCCCCCCCCCCCAAACTGCGCCCGCCCCGCCCCGCCCCGCCCCGCCCCGGGCTCTGGATCCCCCCCCCCCCCCGCATCAGGCTCCTGCCCCACTCCAGGCTCTGGACCCCGCCCCCATGAGGCTGCTCCTGCCCCACTCCGGGCTCGTCACCCCGGCTCCGGACCCTGGCTCCCACCCCAGACTCCAGTCACCCCTCACGCGGCTCCCTCCCCGTTACTCACCCGTCCCCGTCCCCGTCACTAGAGACGCTGCAACACCGGCAAGAAGGCGGCCCCGGATTGGCCCGCCTCCGGCTGCTCCATGGCAACCGGGTCCCCTCTGTGACGTCATCTCCCCGCGCCCCGGCGTTGGGGGACCTGGCTGGGGTTTGCGCCGCCGGGGCAGGGTATTGCCCCGCGTCACTGCGGGCTGCCCCCCCCTCCCCCCTCCGCCCGGGTCCCGGCTGCCATGGCCGAGGTGAAGGTGAAGCCGGAGGTCCCGGACCCGCTGGAGATAGAGAACAGGTGCGGCTGAGAGGCCGAGGCTGGGGCCGGTCTGTCTGGGTGGGGTGCGGGCCCCCAGCGCCTGGGGAGTGGCCTGGGACAGAGCTGGGGGGCGGGGACGGTAGCGGGGTGGGCTGAGATGGGGGCAGGGCTGGAGCGCAGCTGGGGTTGGGGTTAGGCCTGAGAGGGGTCGTGGTGGGGCTGTGTCTGTGTGTTGTGATCTGACTCTGCTCCTCTTCTCCTCGCCTCCAGGATCATCGAGCTCTGCCACCAGTTCCCTCACGGCATCACCGACCAAGTGATCCAGAATGACATGCCCCACATGGAACCCCAGCAGCGGGCCATGGCTATCAACAGGCTGCTTTCCGTGGTAGGGTTCACCTCCCCATCAGTACAGCCCGTTCTGCGGTGCCGGAGGGATCGCACCGCCCTTTCATATGCATGCACGCCATGGACTTCATCAGCCATTACCAACATAGAGCAGCTGCAGAGTTGGGCCTTGTGTATTAATCTTCTGCGATCTAGCAAAGCAATATGAGTGCGTTTCTGTTAACGACTGTAACTGCATCTCAAACCTCATTGGTATTGTTATGTAATATAGGGATAACCTGAAAGAGCCATAGATTTACCTACCGTTATTGAATCCTGTTGGTATCTGCTTTTAGAGGGAGGGTGACATCCTGGCCCCATGGAAGTCAAAGGAAGTTTTGCCATTGACTACAGTGGAGCCAGGATTTCACCCAATGTTTACTAGATTCCAGCTTTTAGGTCAAAGTGTCTGGGATTATCTCATACCTTTTGACTTACTGTAGTTTTAGTTGCACTTATTATTATAAGACACATGTAACCAATATAACTGAGTGCCATTCATATGCGAGCATGGAACCAACCAACATATTGCCCAAAATGGCGACAATGTTTCCTGCATTTCTCTACAGTAGGATACTCAGCTTCCCTGTAAGGATTTGAAGTGGTGTTTAACAATTTAGCAGACCATCAGGAAAGTCCAAGCCTTGCTGTTATAGTTAAAGCCTTAATAACAAGACATCTTGAATCTTGTTCTAAAAGTGACCAGACCTGAGTCCTGATATAGATGTATGTGTCAGAATTGAACTCCAGATGCAAGAAGCCACCACTGAGAATACTCTGCACTCATCTCTCACATGTTTCACGCTTGGCATAGATAGCAAGTGTTCCCTCTGAGCACAGTTATGTGGTACATGGGAAGAGCATTCTTTGAGATAACTGGGAGCATAGAGTATTTAGGGTTTCCACCTGTAAATTAATTGGCAGGCAATGTAGAAAATTATGCACTGGCATAGTTTGCTTCTGTCAGTTTGCCCTATCTAAAAAGGTAGATCTTCAAAGTTAGTCCAAGTTAGACCATGTTGCACTTTTCCTGCCTAGAGGTAACAGACATAGGTAATCATGGCAAAGCCTGCCACCATCTCTTGGCCAGCTGAAGATGAAAGAATGTGTTCTTACTCACAGCTGTTATGTGGGAGTCTGGGAATGATAAGGAGGAGAATCTAGCAGCATCCTGAGAATGTGAATTATTCTGACAGTAGGTGGGTAAATTCACTCAACTGAAGGAACTGTCACAATTTTTACTGCAGTTTAGAATGCCTTCTCATACCATATGTATCACCTCCATCTTACCTGAGCTGAGCCAAAGTAATTTTTTTTTACGTTGACTTATGTTTTCAAGCTAACTGTTGGCTATGTAAATGAGCAATTAAAAAAACGATTCAATGGACATGTTACTGCAGGCTGAGAGAGGTGCATGCTGGAGCTTTACATCTTTTGTGCCGTGTTGGAAGATGAAAGAGTAGATTTCTACATTTTAGTTAATGACACGTGTTGCAGAAAGAGACCAGGAGCAATGTCAATAACCTCTAGCAGCTCGATGATAAATGAACAGAATATTTCCTGAGCAGAGCTGTCTAAAATGTCCTAGTGTTTCCAAAGGATGAAAATGTATTTTGGTCTGTTTTTTATTTAGGCAAAATTAAATGAGATTTCATGTTTAAAAGGTAAGTGTCAAGCTCTTAATAATAGTATTTATGCCTGTCTCTTTCAGGGACAGCTAGACCTTCTCAGGAGCAACACTGGCCTTCTCTACAGGATCAAAGAGTCTCAAAATGCTGGGTAAGCTTTATTTTGTTGAAGGGACAGTCATTTGATCATAGTTCTCATGCACTTTCCCAGTGCAATCATGGTGATGGTAGTAATCATCAAGTGTTATTCACCCATTCATTCATTTACTTACTTTGGGCCCCATCTTGTAAATGCTCTTGGAGGTCATGCTTCCCACTGTGAATAGTTGCATTGAAGTGGGATTACATGGTGTGGGAAGCACTATTGCTGGTAGTAAAGCCCCCCCATCAGGTGATCTGATCCATGCAGGCAGACCTGTATGCCCAAGTGGAGTCCCACTGAAATCAGTGGAGCTCTGCTGTGGGTCCAGGGGTCTGCCTAGATGGAGCAGAGTGCAGGATCAGGCCCTATATTTGTAACAGTCATCCAACCCCAAGTATATTACTCTGTATACTAAATGGAAGTTTTATTTGGTTCATAAAATGTGCCTGTACAAAACTGAGTAAAGACATACTCTGTTTGCTTCAAAGAAGGAAAATCCCCCAAACCTAACAGTCCTCCCCACTCCTCCACCACCACTCTCAAATGCTTCAAAAAAGAGATGAACCTCCCACTGTGGCCTGGAGCTTGGCAGAATCAGGCTGTCTTAGACCAGTGGGGAAAGCAAACTTCAGAGCTGAGAGCACTTTGCTGCACCTTCCCAGATGTTCCATCCGGGGGCTGCTTATTTTGGGTAAGATTTTATTCAGGATTGAGCTACTGCAGTTGTAGGTGAGCAATTGGTGGTCATGGTAGTGGTGGGGAAACTGGAGTACTGCACCAACAAAATGCTGACAGTTACTTTGGCTGACTTGCCATGACATGTAAGAAATGATAAAAGCTGTCTGTAATAACAAGGAACTGCAGTAACCAGCTAGTGCCAGCTGCTTTCTTTTTGTGTAATTGAATTCATTTTATAGTTTTGCTTTCCACAGTTTAAAACAAATCTAGTTTACTTCTATCCAACCTGCTGGACATTCACAATAACTAACTCCTTTCCCTTTTGTAATCTGTCCTTTACAGTAAAATGAAGGGATCTGACAATCAAGAGAAGCTGGTCTATCAAATTATAGAGGATGCAGCCAACAAAGGTGACTTATTCAAGGGCTATTATAATTTTATTCATGACTCGTTGCTTAGCATGTATTTGGGGAAAACAGTGTGTACTATTTCTCAATACTCAAGAATTAAAAGCATGGTAATAAACTACCAAAGCATTATTAACTCTAGCTTCTTTACTATAGTTGTTTTAAAAGCATCTGTTTGAGGTATTACATGCTTAACTAATCACTAAAAATAAACAAGTAAAGTATCTGTATCCACATGAGGACTTGAGTCAATTCCTCTCCCAGCTCCTTCTGTGACTAAAAAGTACAAATTCCCTATAAAATACCCTCCCCTGCCGGACTGTTTCATATCCCAAACTCTCTGAGAGAGTCTAGGAAATCAGATGAGCCTTGCAGCATATGAAGGCCAAGAAACTGGGATTCTGTCAGACTGAGGAGTGAAGGGATGAGAGTTCCAGAACCAAGGGGCCCTCAGAAAAAATGTTTTCCCCATTTTTTGGCCAAGTCTGTTGACAAAAGAGAACTCACCTGTATGAGCTCTCAGAGCAGGCAAGTTTGTGTTATAACAACTGTAGGGAGATGTTGGAATAATACAGATGTGTTGCATGTTGCACATGGTGCTAACTGTGGTAGTGATACAGTGAGTGCCCTTAAATCCCCCTGAATTAACTGGGAGTTGACGGCGCTTGGCACTTGGCAGGAGGTTTGGGATCTTTAGTGTGTATGCACAATCTGAAATTTTTGGCTTAAGTATGTATATACTATGTTAAGTATGTGCATTCTATTTAGGTAGCGCTCAAGCAACATTGTGATGCGAATTCTGAATCGGAAAGGAACAGCTCGAGACTTGGCTTGGAACATAAGAACAAATGTAATGTGCCTGAGACTTGTCATGCTCTGTTCATATTCATTTGAATTCAGCTTTCCTTTTTTCATTTTAAACAGGTATTTGGAGCAGGGATATTAGATACAAAAGTAATCTACCTTTAACAGAGATCAACAAGATACTGAAAAACTTGGAGAGCAAGAAACTTATTAAAGCTGTTAAGTCTGTGGCAGTGAGTAATCTATAGTTTTAAATACTTGAAATACTGTATATACTGCAAAGCATGTTTGTTAGAGCAGGTGACTGGCAGTCAAGAAACTTGGGTTATTCTCCCAGCTATGTCACTGACTCTCTGGCACCTTGAGAAGATCACTTAACTTCTCTGTACCTCAGTTTGCTCCTCTATAAAATGGAGCCAATACTTTAACTACATTGTAAAGCACTGATGGTCTCAGACATAAGGCACTATCTAAGTGCAAATATTAGAGAAGGGTAGAGGTGCAATAACTTTAGCAAAGAGTTGCTGGTATCCTTTATTCAAAACAGTAGGAATCATAATAACCCTTATCACAATTGTCTCTTCTGCTATTAGGAGTGAACTGCTTAGGCCAAATTAAAACTTCTGTGCTTTGCTCTTTCCAGGCTATCCCACAGCCAGAATTTTCTTTGGACGTAATTTCTCTTAAGTGGGGGAGAGTTTTTAACCTGCTGATTATTATAACTGTGATTCAGGAAAACATTCCTATTCAGGACAAACTTAAAAGACATGCCTAAGTGCTTTCCTGAATCAAAGCCTATACTAATAACATGACTTCAATGGAGTTGAAAAAGCATCTAACCCAGTTTATAAATACTTGATTTGGAATATGTAAGCCATTTATGAGATGGCTTTGTGAAGTGTCTTCATCCTTCATTTATTGCAGAATCCAGGGGCTTTATTAGGGGGCTGCTGCATGTTCTGAGCTTTTTTCATCTCTTGCCATAGTTAATGAAGCTTCAGAAAGGCTCACTTTCAAATGTGTTCATTAGGCACTTGTGTTTTAGTGCAGTGTTGCTACAGCCTTCGTGTCAGTCCCAGGATATTAGAGAGACAAGGTGGGTTAGGTAATACATTTTTACTGGACCAACTTTTGTTGGTGAGAGAGAGAGAGAGACGCTTTCAAGCTACACAGAGCTCTACGTGAGGTCTGTGACTGAAGCAGAGCTCTGTGTAGCTTGAAAGCTTCTCTCTCTCGCCACCAGAAGTTAGTCCAGTAAAATATATTACCTAACCTACCTTGTCTTTCTAACTTGTTTAATGTAATAAAACCCTTTTCCTGTTCATAGTACTGAATTCATGTTCACCATCCTGTGCAAAAGCTTGGGTACCGCTTATTGCCTACAGCATAATACATCGTTCTGGAATTACCAGAGCAAGATTTATAATTTACGGCTAAAGATACACGTTTATATTTAAAAATCTTAAGATTAACTTCTCTAATTTAAAGATGCCATTGTATAACTTCAGAAGTTAACCCTCTGAAGTTTCATAGCCCCACTGTATTGTATGTGTAAAGTCACCTGACTCTGTATTTCATCTCAGACAATGTCCTGTTGTAGCTGCCATGAGTCAAAAAGCAGAATAATGAGTGTCCTTTCCACAAAGAGTAAACTCTCAGAAGTGATTTTAAAATGGAAGCTGATTTAACTGGGAAATGTTTATAGCAGGCATTTTGGCTATGTCTAGGACTAGTTCTGCATTAAACAATTTTAAAAGCGGTTTCTCATCCCCTTTAGACTAGGTCATCAGGCATGCTTAATCATCATACTGTTATAGGAGGGATAGCTGAACCACATTCTGACCTGAAGGAGGGCCAAAACCAGGCTCAGAACTTGGAAGGACATCAGATAACAGGCTAAATTCAGATCTTTTGCAGCTTCATTGAAATGAAGCTGTAGCGATTCGCACCCGAGCCTGAATCTGTCCCATTTTCTTTAAAGCCCTTTATCTTTGTGTAGTTTTGTTTCCCTTTTCCAACCCTGCTCCATAAAACAAGTCTGAGAGTCAGAATCCAAAAATACGACCTCCCCGGTATTCTTGGAGTGCAGATAGTGCTTCTAATGGTTTGCTGCAGCTATGCACTTCCCATCTTTCGGGGCACATGGCACTACATGGATCGTTCCTATGCTTGTTTAAATGAAATTTTCCTTTCATGGAAGATCTTCAGCTATTAAAAAAAAAGTGTGTATTGTTCAATAGGCCTCAAAGAAGAAGGTGTACATGTTATATAACCTGCAGCCTGACCGGTCCGTGACTGGTGGGGCCTGGTACAGCGACCAAGACTTTGAATCTGAATTTGTGGAGGTGTTGAACCAACAGTGTTGTAAATTCTTACAGACTAAGGTGAGGGATTGCTACAGATTAACCCATCTTTGATTGTTTTTACAAGTAATTGCTTTTCCTTTAAAAACTGGTGGAAGAAAAGTTTGTATACAGTTGTTAATATAAAAATAGGTGGACTTTGTTATGTAGTTGCTGGACCATAATTCTTTATTGGCATTTTTCTAATTTAATTGTAGCTGCAAATGCATGCAATGGATCATTCACCTTAATAAACCCATAATTTGTACTTTTAAAAGAAAAGAAGCATCATTCCCCCAGATTCATATCTCAAACTGAGTATTGAAGAATGTAGGAACAAATGAGGAAAGGTCAGCTTTCCCATACTACTTCAGCTGTGCAAAAAAGGTTGTCAGCCCTGATTATTGTGGACTGTGCCTAGAAAGTGTTACTCCCTATCCATGCTACAGGGAAAGCCCAACCTCCATCCTCTGAGTCCTAGTCAGATCGTGTCAATTTCCCTTTCCCTCCAAAATATACATTACAGGCCACTGGCTATGGCTGAGGTTTTTCCATAGTCGGGAAACTCAGAATGATGGTGCCTACGTTCTAACTCCTCATGTCAATATGGTGTTTCATGTTACTGTATATAGTGTTAACTTGTAATTTGCCACTTACTGTTCACTGTGCAATATATATCTAGGATTATTCCATTTGTTGATAATCACCTGCTTAAAACAGCAGTGGGGAACCTTTTTCCTATCAGGGGCCATTGATCCCCAGAAAAAATCAATTGTGGGCCACACACAGCCCCGCCGGTGGTGGGGAAGGTGGGCGCAGAGGCTCTGGGCTTCCCCTAGGGTTGCCAACTTTCTTAATTGCACAAAACCGAACACCCCCCGCACTTCTTTTAGACCCCGCCCTACACTCACTGAAGCCCCCCTCCCTCAGTTGCCCACTCTCCTCCACCCTCATTTTCACTGGGCTGGGGTAGGGGATTGGAATGCGGGTGGGGGTGAGGTCTCCAGCTGGAGGTGCGGGCTCTGGGGTGGGGCCAGAAATGAGGGGTTCAGGGTGTGAGAGGGGCTCTGGGATGGGGACAGGTGGTTTGGAGTGCAGGAGCGGGCTCAGCGTTGGGGCAGGGGTTTGGGGCGCGGGCTCCAGTCAGGCAGTGCTTGCTTCAGGCAGCTCCTGGTCGGCGGCGCAGCAGGCCTAAGGCAGGCCCCCTGCCTGTCCTGGCTCCGCGCTGCTCCTGGAAGCAGCTGCTGTGTCCAGCCCCTAGACAGAGGCGCAGCCAGGTGGCTCTGTGCAGTGTGCACTGCAGGCAGTGACCCCGCAGCTCCCGCTGGCCGCGGTTCCTGGCCAGTGGGAGCTGCGGAGCCAGCACTGGGGGTGGGGGCAGCACACGGAGCTTCCCTGATCACCCCTGCGCCTAGGGGCCGCAGGGACATGCCGTCCGCTTCGGGAGATGTGCGGAGCCAGGACCGGCGGGAAGCCTGCCTTAGCCCTGCTGTGCCACTGACTGGACTTTTAATGGCCTGGCAACCCTAGTTTCCCCCCGCAGCGGGGTGAGCCGGTGCTCGCAGGTCCAGCCCCGCGGGGCAGTGTGGAGGCTCAGGGTTTCTTGCCCATGGCGCCAAGACTTGCCACGGGCTGGATGAAATTAAGCAGGGGGCCAGATTCCCACCCTGGCTTAAAACTTGGGAGAGATTGTCTGGAAATTGCCTCTACAATGGTTTAAAAGCAGCTTGTTGTATACCTAGAGACATTCTCTTCACAGGGAGCACTGACTGCGTTTGTCACTCTCTCCCCTCCATGCTTCCCCAGGCAGAAGCAGCTCGCGACAGCAAACAGAACCCTATGATACAGAGAAACAGTTCGTTTGCATCATCCCATGAGGTGTGGAAATACATTTGCGAGCTGGGCATCAGTAAGGTCAGAATGGCGTTTAACTTACCACCTTTCAAGTTGGTGCCGAATGGCTAGCATTTGGAATTGGGCCCTAAGTCCTAATTTTGGTGCCTGACTTGATGCATCCAAGTTTGCACATTGGGGTCTTATATTGCAGTGTGTATGAAGTAGGGGGTTTGTGCTGCATTACAGCCCAGAGCCAATATAGTCTGGGATTTCCAAAGGCACCTAAGGGAGTTAGGCATCCAGTGCCCAGTCAATGCGAGTTGGGACCCATTTTCTTTTGGCAATCCCAGCCATAGGGAATTTTATAATTGCTCTGTTGGAATTTCCCTATGAACATAAACTGAGATTCTTGAAGTCAGCTAGGAATTTAGCCACACAGTTTTAATGGAAGATGTGTAACAAATTCCTAGCTGCCTTCGAAAAGCTCCATCATAATATGTAAGAGCAAGAAAACAGCCATGGGTTCCCTGTTAAGTGAAGATCTGGCACAGCCCTGGTCAAGCTTCCCCTGCTGGCCACTCACCAGGCTGCTGTGTTCGGACTCATGCTGGATATATGTGCTCTAAAGCTCCCATTGCTCACTGGGTAGGCTCTGGTTTAGCCGCGCTCTCTGGCTGTGGCCTCTCTGGCACCCTTCCTGGCTGCAGACTCTGTCTGGTGCCCTTTCTGGAAGTGGGACCCCAGGGCCCTGCTGTCCTGGCCCTAGGACCGGTGCTGACCCCCGAGATATCTCAGTTGCTTTAGCATGCCCATTCCCAGAGCTTTTGCTTTGTGAACACTCTAGTTTACAGGTGTCACCTTCAGGGACACATGATAGTTGAAGCGACTAGACACAGACTTTGTAAAAGGACTTCTAAAAACAGTCGTTCTGCTTTAGACAGCATGGAATATACAGACCCATAACAACAACAAATGCCTGTGTGCCATTCCCTGCCTCAGTTTCCTCACCACTCTTGAGAGTTCTATGGGATTTGGATCAGTGTCTTTTCAGGGTCCAAGTGCTCTCTGTTGAACTGCAATCCTCCAGCTCAAGGCTTCTCTAAACCATGGTGTGTGTGTTTCTCTCTCTCCCCTTCAATCAGTGTCCTTCAGCTCCAGCTGATCTGACAGTCAACAATATTCCCTCTAGCTTATGACACCTGGCCCTTTATTCCTCTGTCTCCCTCTGAGTCCTCCTTCAACTTCTCACCCTTGTGTTTTTAAGCTTCTGCCCTGATACCTCTCTTTGTCCCCTTTCTGGGGATTTTCCGCTCCTTGAAACCTTAACTGTATGCAGACAAGTGAGAAAAATTGTTTCTCTGAGGATACAGCCATCCTGTTCTGTTTGGGCAAGATTATATTCAGGTGTTGATGGTCTCTAAAGGCCATCCTAGTCAGCAATAGAGACTTGGCACTCCTCCCTGTTTCCTTAGAGGCACGAACATCACAATGATAATCATAAGGGCTTAAACATTATGATTGAACATTAGTTCATAATCTCAAACAGAATTCATAACCTGTGCTTAGATATCCCAAATCATCAGAGGGTTATTGCATTGTATCTGAATTGTTGCAGACACTTGAGGAGTATGGGTGAATTCCACTTGGCAAATGTATCTGAAAGCCCAGCATTATTTTAAAAGAACTGTAAGAAAAACAGTGAAAACCTCACTCTCTTTGCTCTCCCCTTTTCCGCATAACTGCCATTCAGTATCCATGATTCAGTGAATTCTGTGCCTGTATCAAGGCTACACCAGACCTCTAAAGCCTTAGGAATGAGGGATGAATGTCATCATTCATAAATGAGAGTTTATTTTCCTTTTTGCAGGAGTTATTGCTACACCTTTTCTCTAGTTGTTACCAATATCTTTTGTTATATTTTTACAAAATTGCCTTTAGGTCGAATTGTCAATGGAGGATATCGAAACTATTTTAAACACACTAATATACGATGGAAAGGTGGAGATGACCATCATTGCTGCAAAAGAAGGGACAGTTGGCAGTGTGGATGGACACATGAAATTGTACAGATCTGTCAATCCTATCATCCAACCCACTGGGTTAATCCGAACACCCTGTGGACTCTGCCCAGTAAGTTACTGATTGTGTATGTGGAGGAAGAAGTACTTACTAATGTAGACCCGGGTCCGGCAAACACTTAGTCACATGCTTAACGTTACACACAGGAGTAGTCCCATTGACTTCAAAAAGTCAGTGGAGGTCACACATGCCTTGGCTATGGAGTAAATAAAAGACCGATACTTTTATTTAGGCCATGATGTTTCCTATTTAAACACTGCATCTCATCCCTTGATCGCATGGTAAAAGGACACTGTTAAGTCAAACATGCTCCAAAATGTAGTCTTTTTATAAACAAATGTCTGGGAGATCTAAGACCAGTAGAAACTGTTTTAATAATTTTTTGTTTTGTTGGATTTTTAGTTTCAATGGGAAGTTTATACAAGCACATGTCCCAGCTGAGTGACAGCCCAAACATTGTTGCATTGTTATAATGCATGGGAACCAAAAAGAGATACTACCTGGTTTATTTTCATTGTCCAAGATCAGAAATACAAAAAGCCTTGCAATAAGAAAGCAGAAATAAACACTAAATGGTTCTAACACTCTTTAGCTGTAATAATCAAAGGCGTTGAAAACGTGAGTAGGAAATGTTTTCCAACCAGGGTTTTAACTGGACAATGTCCATTTAGCTTTTTTCAAGCCCCTCTCTCATTTTTAACATCTTTACCCTCATCCAACTCATTTATTAGTATAATGTGTGAATGGAGTTTTTACAATGGGCTGTTTGTATTGATGTAATGATTTCTTGCACATCAAAGCCCCAGCATAGCTGTTGATTATTCCTGTTCTTTGCGATGGCACTGTGGTCTTGCCTAGTGGATACGGAACTGAATGGGGAGTCATAAAACGGGTTCTAATCCCAGCGCTGTTCCCCTGTTGTATGCCCTTGGGCAAGTTATTTCACCTCTTTGTAACCCTTTGTCTTGTCTGCTAATTTATAAACTGTCCAAGGCCGGGACAGTCAATCACTGTGTGTACAGTCCCTAGGACAGTGGGGCCCTGATCCTGAGTGAGGGCCTCTGGTGCTAGTGTAATATAAATAATAATCTCTATCAGGGTTGGGATTAGATGATCTCCTGGATCCCAGTCTTGTGTTCATTTTACTCCTCCATGGAGCAAACAGTTCAGTTTTTTACTTCCAATTGTGTTGTGCTCACCACATGTAAGGAAGTCTTACACCTGGTTTCATTTTACCACAGGTCTTTGATGACTGCCATGAAGGTGGTGAGATTTCTCCATCAAACTGCATTTATATGGCAGAGTGGCTAGAATTTTGATGGCAAGATAAGAACCATGGATTGTACCACTCTTTGCAGCCTACCTTGATGAACCAATTGGCTTTTTAATCGTGGACTCGGGATTTTTTGTGAGCGACTTCAGGACATGACGTTAATTTTTTTTAATTACATGCAGAGAAGCAACACATTGGTTTGTTAGCAATCCTGATAATGGACCAAAAGTGATGCACTACTTGAGGTCAGGTCATTGATGGCAACCTATCCTCATTCTCGCACCAAAAAGGCATAGTGACTTGACAAACATGACAACAGGAGTGGGATGTAATAGAAAATCTTGGAGAGTTATGTATAGCTCTGTACTGAAGGTTATATTTTGAACATGAGAAAAGAAGTCGCTAGCTCTGATCTTTACAAAGAACTCTGATGTTCAAAGTGGTAATACCGAGCAGAGAGCGCAGTCCTAAAGGCAGCACCTTACTCCAGTGGTAACAAAAGTCTGGTTGGAGACAACTGTTGCATAACAAAGGCTCGAGGACATTGGAAAGCATCACTCATTGATTCTTCCTTCTCCTCCTCTAGTGTTATAAATAAAACGCTATTTTAATATCAACAGGTATATTTGGTCTTTGTTGTCTTCATTACTTCTATTACAGTAGGACAATGGAACAGACTGCCTCGGGAGGTTGTGGAAGCTTCTTCACTGGAGGTTTTCAAAAGGAGGCTGGATCGCCATCTGTCTCGGATGATTTAGACACACCAAATCCTGCATCTTGACTGGGGGTTAGACTAGATGACTCTTGTGGTCCCTTCTAGCCCTATGATTCTATAGTAGAACCTGGCTGTGGGTACCCAGGATTGAGGGTCATTTAAGATTTTCATTTCACTCAACGAACAGCCAGAGAGATAGATTGTTAATCTTGGTCAGTGCATTCTGGGGATTAAAATCACATAACTGAGAGATAAGGCAAAGTCTTTGAATAGAATAACAGTGAGATTTTAAAAAATCTCCACCATCTAGTCTTACAGGTAGGAGAGTGTTTCACATCGCTGGGTTACCATGGATTAATGTAAAATCACATCCTCCAGAAATTTACACACATCCTTTAGCAAAGGCTTCTCTGTGGGATTGGGACAGAACTAGAAATAAGATAAGATCTTTTCCTTCGCCAATGACACCCATTGCAAATGATCCAGCTCTTCACCCAAATCACGAACCGAAGATTGAGAGAGCCATGGAATACTCACAATTGGCCAGCTATTCAGTAAAGAAACTTTTCTAACTTCTTTAGAGATGTTGTCATGATGGCTTTGTTTCTGATCTTTACATAGGGGCGAGGGAGATGGGGGTGCAGATGGTGTTCTCATCGATCCTTTTGGCCAAGGGGAGGGGCCCAGGCACAGACATTCACACCCTGGTGGTGAACATATGGCTCCACAGATGGTGTTGCCAGGATGACTGGCTTCCTTGACCGCAGGATGCTGTTCTGAGAAGGACTGCTTAACAAAGATGGAGTCCACCTATCAAGGAAAGGGAAGAGTATCTTTAGATGCAGATCTGCTAATCTAGTGGGGCAGCAGACAAAAGCCCACAGGTAAGTCTGTAACATGGAGACCTGGGTGAAGGATTGGAATCTGGGGAACATGGGCAATCAAAGCCGGGACAAAGGAGAGTCTAGAGGGAATACAGAGGGGAAATCTAATGAACATCTTAAAGGTCTGTATACTAATGCAAGAAGTAAGGGGATTAAACAGGAAGAACTAGAAATACTAGTGAATAATCACAATTATGACATAGTTGGCATCAGAGATTTGCTGGTATAATTTACATGACTGGAATATCTAGAAGGGTACAGCTTGTTGAGGAAGGATAGGCAGGGGATAAAAGGAACTTAAAGGTATACAAGGCACTTGCCCTGAGGCCGAGACAGAAGTGGGAGGCAGACCTATTGAAAGTCTGGATCATGACCAAAGGGGGTAAAAAACAAGGGTGATGTCATTGTAGGGGTCTACTATAGACCACCTAAGCAGGAAGAAGAGGTGGACGAGGCTTTTATTAAACTAACAATCATTTAAAGCACAGGACTTGGTGATGATGGGGGACTTCAATTACCCAGACCTCAGTTGGGAAAACAATACAGCAGGGCACAGATTATCCAACAAGTTCATTTTTTATTACAGAAGGTGGAGAAAGCGAGTAGGGGAGAGGCTGTTCTAGATTTGATTCTGACAAATAGGGAGGAACTGGTTGAGAATTTGAAAGTGGAAGGCAGCATGGGTGAAAGTGATCATAAAATGATGAGTTCATGATTCTAAGGAATGGTAAGAGGGAAAACAGCAAAGTAAAGACAATGGACTTCAAGAGGGCAGACTTTAGCAAACTCAGAATTGGTAGGTAAGTTCCTGTGGCAAGCAAGTCTAAGGGGGAAAACGAGGTAAGGAGAGTTGGTAGTTTTTTAAAGAGATGTTACTAAGGGCGTGAGCAAGCTATCCCAAAGTGTAGGAAAGATAGGAAGTATGGTAAGCCACCTGGCTTAGCCAGGAGATCTTCAATGACTCAAAAGTCATACAAAAAGTGGACACTAGGTCAAATTACAAAGGATGGATATAAAAAGCTAACACATGCAAATAGGGACAAAATTAGAAAGGCCAACGCATAAAAGGAGATTAAACATGCTAGGTACACAAAGGGTAACAAGAAAACATTTTACAAATACATTAGAAACAAGAGGAAGACCAGGGAGGGTGGACCCATTATTCAGGGGCAAGAGAGAGATAATAACTGAAAAGAAGCAATGGCCAAAGTGTTAAATGCCTTGGGGGGAGAGGGGTGTGTGTGTTTGCTTTTTTATTTTCCCCACCAAAAAGGTTAGCAGTGAATTTGCTCAGACTAACACAGTGAACATACATGAGTATAAATGGGGTAGGATTTGAGGCTAACATAGGAAAAGAACAAGAATTTAGTTAGACATCTTCGAGTCAGCAGGGCCTGATAAAATACATCCTAGAATACTTAGGGGATTGTCTGAAGGGATCACTAAGCCACTAACAATTATCTTTGAGAACTTATGGAGGATGGAGAGATTCCAGAGGACTGGAAAAAAGGCAAATATAGTTCCTTCCTATCTATAAAAAAGGGAATAAGGACAACCTAGGGAATTATAGATCAGTCCTCTTACCTTTGGTACCCGGAAAGATAATTAATTATTTGCTCCATCAATCAATTTGTAAGCACCTATAAGATAATAGGGTGATAAGTAACAGTCAAGAACAAATCATAACAAACCAACCTAACCACATTCTTTGACAGGGTAACAAGCCTTATGGAGGCAGGGGAAGCAGTGGATGTGATATCTGTTTTAGTAAGGCTTTTGATGCTGTCTCACATGACCTTCTCATAAGCAAACTATGGAAATATAAAAAGAAAAGGAGTACTTGTGGCACCTTAGAGACTAACCAATTTATTTGAGCATGAGCTTTCGTGAGCTACAGCTCACTTCATTGGATGCATACCGTGGATACTGCAGCAGACTTTATATACACGCAGAGATCATGAAACAATACCTCCTCCCACCCCACTGTCCTGCTGGTAATAGCTTATCTAAAGTGATCATCAAGTTGGGCCATTTCCAGCACAAATCCAGGTTTTCTCACCCTCCACCCCCCCACACACAAACTCACTCTCCTGCTGGTAATAGCCCATCCAAAGTGACCACTCTCTACACAATGTGCATGATAATCAAGGTGGGCCATTTCCTGCACAAATCCAGGTTCTCTCACCCCCTCACCCCCCTCCAAAAACCACACACACAAACTCACTATCCTGCTGGTAATAGCTCATCCAAAGTGACCACTCTCCCTACAATGTGCATGATAATCAAGGTGGGCCATTTCCAGCACAAATCCAGGTTTTCTCACCCCCCCCCCACCCCCATACACACACAAACTCACTCTCCTGCTGGCAATAGCTCATCCAAACTGACCACTCTCCAAGTTTAAATCCAAGTTTAACCAGAACGGGGGGGGGGGGGGGGTAGGAAAAAACAAGGGGAAATAGGCTACCTTGCATAATGACTTAGCCACTCCCAGTCTCTATTTAAGCCTAAATTAATAGTATCCAATTTGCAAATGAATTCCAATTCAGCAGTTTCTCGCTGGAGTCTGGATTTGAAGTTTTTTTGTTTTAAGATAGCGACCTTCATGTCTGTGATTGCGTGACCAGAGAGATTGAAGTGTTCTCCGACTGGTTTATGAATGTTATAATTCTTGACATCTGATTTGTGTCCATTTATTCTTTTACGTAGAGACTGTCCAGTTTGACCAATGTAAGGATCTACAACCTATCCTAAAGGATGACCCAACACTCTCACAAATCTTGGGAGACAGGCCAGTCCTTGCCTACAGACAGCCCCGCAACCTGAAGCAAATACTCACCAACAACCACATACCACACAACAGAACCACTAACCCAGGATCTTATCCTTGCAACAAAGCCCGTTGCCAACTGTGCCCACATATCTATTCTGGGGACACCATCACAGGGCCTAATAACATCAGCCACACTATCAGAGGCTCGTTCACCTGCACATCCACCAATGTGATATATGCCATCATGTGCCAGCAATGCCCCTCTGCCATTTACATTGGTCAAACTGGACAGTCTCTACGTAAAAGAATAAATGGACACAAATCAGATGTCAAGAATTATAACATTCATAAACCAGTCAGAGAACACTTCAATCTCTCTGGTCACATAACCACAGACATGAAGGTCGCTATCTTACAACAAAAAAACTTCAAATCCAGACTCCAGCGAGAAACTGCTGAATTGGAATTCATTTGCAAATTGGATACTATTAATTTAGGCTTAAATAGAGACTGGGAGTGGCTAAGTCATTATGCAAGGTAGCCTATTTCCCCTTGTTTTTTCCTACCCCCCCCCCCCGACGTTCTGGTTAAACTTGGATTTAAACTTGGAGAGTGGTCAGTTTGGATGAGCTATTGCCAGCAGGAGAGTGAGTTTGTGTGTGTATGGGGGTTGGGGGGGGGTGAGAAAACCTGGATTTGTGCTGGAAATGGCCCACCTTGATTATCATGCACATTGTAGGGAGAGTGGTCACTTTGGATGAGCTATTACCAGCAGGATAGTGAGTTTGTGTGTGTGGTTTTTGGAGGGGGGTGAGGGGGTGAGAGAACCTGGATTTGTGCAGGAAATGGCCCACCTTGATTATCATGCACATTGTGTAGAGAGTTGTCACTTTGGATGGGCTATTACCAGCAGGAGAGTGAGTTTGTGTGTGGGGGGGTGGAGGGTGAGAAAACCTGGATTTGTGCTGGAAATGGCCCAACTTGATGATCACTTTAGATAAGCTATTACCAACAGGACAGTGGGGTGGGAGGAGGTATTGTTTCATGATCTCTGCGTGTATATAAAGTCTGCTGCAGTATCCACGGTATGCATCCAATGAAGTGAGCTGTAGCTCACGAAAGCTCATGCTCAAATAAATTGGTTAGTCTCTAAGGTGCCAGAAGTCCTCCTTTTCTTTTTGCGAATACAGACTAACAGGGCTGTTACTCTGAAACCTATGGAAATATAGCCTGCCTAGACAAACCTGCTAT